CCGTTGAGGCGATCAATGTGAGACAAAAGAAGCGACATCATCAAGGACCAGCTACAGAACATGTGTTTTCAGGATTCCGGCCCTGAAGTATCTTGGACAGAAGGCGTTCATGACACACGTCAAGTCGATCTATTTGCAAAAGGATAAAGAAGTCTTCAAACTGAAAGAGTACAATCTAGAAGCCTACGCTGCTAGCTTAGGTCTTCCGGGAACACCTAGAATCAAGTTCTTGAAAGACGACAACAGCAAGCAGAGGAAACAAGCATCACGACAAACTATCGAGGTTTCAGACTCGTCAGATGACGAAGAGATTCCCAAGGCAGATAAACCTGTGCGAACCAAGTACGATCGCATGTTCGAGCGGAAGAATCAGGATGTTCTGGCAGAGCACTACCAGAAGCTTGTCAGGAGTGGAGATGAAGGGGCTCCGACGGACGACTTCAGCGGCTCTGGGGCGAACAATGCAGCCGATGACGACTTCATGGCCGTCAAGCGAAGAATACCGGCTGACGATGAAGATGAGGACCTCGGTGATGGCCAAGGCCTACAAGTTCCCCCAGGAGGTCGTATTGTCCATATTGCGGGAGCCTCCCAACCGTTGGTCATTGACAGCAATCGGCGCGAGAAACTGCTACAATCCAAGAAGAAGCTTACAAAACTCATGGACAAGGGCAAAAAGCTTATCTACGACGACGAAGGAAATCCTCACGAGGTTTACAAACTTGAAGACGAAGAGCAATTCCGTGCCAAGGGTCTGCCCGAAGACCAGCGACAGAAGTTCATTGAAGCAGCACGAGAGGTTGTGGAGACTGCTGATGTCGAAGATAAAGCAACAGCAAGAGCCAAGAGGAAGGAGAAACTGCGCAAGCGCAAAGAAAGGGAGAGGAATGAATTGGCAGGAGGCGATGGTAACGATGCTGGTGTGGAACTGTCAGACCCTGGCGAGGATCTCCTGGCAAACTTTAGGGCGGATGCGGAATATAGTGATGATGATGGTGAGGATGAGGATGTGGAGGGAGAACAAGAAGAGAAGCCCAAGAAAGCCAAAAAGTGGTTCGAGTCTGATTCAGAGGATGAGGAGAAGACGAAAAAGAGGAAGAAGGCAAAGGCCACACACAGGGTGGAGGAGCCGGAGACGCTAGAGGACATGGAGGCTCTTGCTGCTGGTTTGCTGGGCTAAGTGCTGCTGAAGTTTTCGTTGCTTAAATACCATATATTTATGACGATGAGTGTTAGCCCTCGCGAAGATCAAGATGAAATTGACTCGATAAATTCATCAGCTTGCTGCTTAATTTCACAGGTACAATGACTTTTGTCGCCGTTTTGGTCATTCTCTTCGCCCAAAATAGATCTGATCAATTAAGCCGATCGAAAATAGCGGGGGTACAACATGCAACGTCTTTTGCCTATATGCAGCATTGCATCACCCCTTCGTACCTAGCCCGACGGCCTGGTTCATGTATTGTCTGCCTCAATGATGTAGATCCGTTCCATATGCCCGCCATCTACATTCATAACACGGGCATCAACTCAGACCCGCGTCTGTTGGGGCCATCTATTGTGCATGAGTATAGTAGTCTAGGCGAGGTGATGGGAGTAGATATAGTATTCCATACCCTACTCGCCGTCTCCAGGCCAGGAAAAAGATCAGCAGTCCAGTCCTTCTCTTACCTTCCAAGTTAGTCTAAGAGATTGATATCCTACGCAGTCAATCTGGTCTTACCAAAGACATCAATCCGCCATAATGCACCTCCCTCTCGCCCTCGTCGTCACACTCGCTACTTCAACTCTTGCCATCCCAGCCCCCACACCTGTACCCACACCTGACTCATCCTCCCCCCGCGCCGCCTTACGAGGCAGTGCACGAAACGTCTACCTCACAACCTGCACCACGCGCTCCCTCTCCGCCGACAGCACCTCTTCGTCCGCCATCCTCTACAACAGCGGCGACACTTCGTCTTCCAACCCTTCCGACGTCGGCACTGTGTTGTCTGAGAGTGCTATCCAATGGGCGGGTTATACGCGACGCGTGCCGCTAGGCTCCGGCATCTTTGAGAGCAAGATTGACAAGGGGGCTGAGACGCTGGAGAAGAGTCAGATTGCGGGGTCGGCGAAGCTGAGACGTGAGCAGTTTGTTTGTTTTAGGGATGGGGTGAGTACGTTTAGGTTTGCGGGTGGTGTGTTGGGGGCGGAGACTACGGTTTGTACGGCGGAGTTTTGGTGCGCTAGTATTGCTGTGTAGAGAGGGGATGAGCAAAGGAAATGGAATAATGGGGGGTTGAAGGAATGTTGAGACTGAAGTTTTGTCGTTGCTATTGCCATTGAGATTCTTCGAGCCTTTTGGTTGCTAAGTTGTCGCATGATGTTTGTCTGCCACTCAGCATCGTCTCCTTAAGCCAACATGTTCATGCATATGCTTTGGCTGACACACCTGCCATTTACCTGTCCATCGTAATCTCTCCTGTTGTAGCACTGGTGGCAATGGCAATGGCAAAGGGGCGAATTTGCATGTTCGCGTTGCTTAAAGCGGAAATTATCGAGATAAGATGGGGCAAGAGTTGGCAATCTCGAAGAGCTTGCTCGACAAGTGGATCTCGCGAAGGGACACTTGCCAATTTCGGATTCTGCTCCCAACATCCAATTCCAAATCCCAGCCATCAACTTCTTCTTCATGAGTGTCTACTCGGAGTACTTGGCGAAATCAACGAACGATGTCGGAGAAAGATATTCCGCCAGGGCGTCCCTAAGGCGTCCAAAGACCAACCCCACTACTAAGACTGTCCCCTACATAGCTGTATGTACAACCTACTAATCTCCAATCATTAATTTCTCCGCCGCCAAGTACTTAGTGATCCTTACCAAGGTTATCTCTTGCCTAAATCGTCTATGATGAGCATCCTTCCATGCGCGGAAATCTTGCCAAAAGCTGTTCGAGACCGCGGAGTGGAGTGTACTGCGACGCTACCAAGCGAGAGGAATATAGACGTGCATTGCAATGACCGCGGTAGTGCCAGATCGGGGGCAAAGTGGACATAGGCGCCATCCTTCCATGGCGTATAAGTAGGTCTGTAGTGCAAAGCAATGGGAAGCACTCCAGGGTTTTCGGTTCCGTTTCTTCAGGGTCAACAGTTCGTAACGACATTGCTGAACCTTTCTTCGCCATGCATCTCCCGACTTTGTCTCTGGTATTGGCTGGCACAGCATTCGCAGCCAAGAATACCACTCGGCCGTACTCAACATGGATGGCTCATTCCTTCCGGTCGAAGAACCAGACCATTGACAATCACTATGTTTCCGCAGTCATTCATGAAGGCTATGCGAAAGCCGCCATGGCGCAGAATGACACGGAGCTTGCAGCGTTTGCCGCTGGTGAAGTTTCTTCAATCGTCTCGGCCAACGGCACCCTCAAGGGCTGGAACTCGACCTTCTACACGCTCGACGACATCCGAATTGGCAACAACCTCCTCCACGTGTGGAACTCAGAAGGTCGCAAGGACAACAAGTATGTCATCGCGGCCAAGGGTCTTCGCGAGCAGCTGAACCGATGGCCGCGCACTCCTGAGGGAGGTTTCTGGCACCGGGCGCCCACATACGAGAACCAGATGTGGCTAGACGGTCTCTACATGGCCGATACCTTTTATGCGACCTACACATCCTACTTTGAGCCAGAAAACACCACAGCCTGGAACGAAATCGAGTTGCAATTCGACCAGATCGAGGAGCACTGCCGGAACAAGACATCCAACCTCCTCAAGCACGGCTTCAGCTCGGACAAGTCGACTGTTTGGGCTGACCCAATTACTGGGGCCTCGCCCTACGTTTGGGATCGCGCCCTCGGGTGGTACTTTGTAGCGCTCGTAGAGGTGCTGGAAGTGTGGCCTAAGACGCACGCCGGCTACTCCAAGCTCCTCAACTACTACACCACACTCGCCTCTGGTATCAAGGATGTCCAAGACATAAGCGGTGGATGGTGGTTGCTGATGGATGAACAACTTGCTGGGCTGACGGGAAACTACATTGAATCGAGCGCGACTGCTCTATTCACCTACTCATACTTGAAGGGTGTTAGGCTGGGATTGCTGGAGCAAGCGTACCAGGACACAGCGGTCAAGGCGTGGGACCTTCTGTTGGATGAATTCATCCAGTACGAGCAGAATGGCACACTCAGCTTCACCGGTACTGTCACGGTTGGAAGCTTGAAGGGCGATGCGTCGTACGAGTACTACACCACCGTTCCGCTGCTGGTGAACGATGGCAAGGGTGCCGGGCCATTTATGTATGCTGCGTCGGAGATTGAGTTGGCTTGTTTGGATTAGACATAGAGTACATCTAGGCGATTGTAAATAGTAAAGAAGTCCTAGATAAAAGTCTTCAAGGTGTTGTAGTGCAACGTCTGACAGCTCCAATAACATGGTGCACGCTATTCCTATCTAGCCAAATCTCACCTCACCTAAGGTGTCCGTGCACGCAATGCCCGGATCGGAGTAATGCACACCCCACCTTCACACCCAACCCACCTTCAACACCACATAACTCCACTAATATGGATTCAATCCAGGATGCAATTAATGCAATCGAATTGCGTGCTCCCGGAGAGCATTTTACGTACTCGGAAATCGCAAAAAGGTTCAGTGTTGAGCGATCAACGCTGGCTAGAAGACATCAGGGCAAATGCCAGCCCCGCTCAATTGCACATCAAATCCTTCACCCACAACAAGAGAAGGAGCTTGTAGAGTATATTCAGGGGCTTACAGCACGTCGTACACCACCTACCCGAGAGATGATTAAGAATTTCGCAAGTACTATAGCTGGAAAAGGGGTTAGTGATACCTCGGTATCCTCGTTTCTTGACAGAAACTCCCCCCATCTAATCTCACGTTGGCAATCCGGCATGGATCGCCAGCGCCACCAGGCTGATTCAGGGGCTAAATATAGCCTATACTTCGATCTTTTGCACCAGAAGATAGAGGAATATAAGATCAAGCCATGGGATATCTACAATATGGATGAGAAGGGCTTTCTAGCTGGAGTTACTGGTAGATCAAAAAGGATATTCAGCAGACGAATGTGGGAGAAAAAGGAGGTTACTACAGCTCTTCAAGATGGCTCGCGTGAATGGGTAACCCTCCTAGCTTGTATTTGCGCCGATGGATTAGCACTACCCCCAGGCCTTATCTACCAGAGTACCTCAGGGGGGCTTCAATTAAGCTGGGTACAGGATATCAGTGAAGGAGAACACTCAGCCTTCATTACTTCATCTCCATTAGGCTGGACAAACAACGAGATAGGGGTCGCCTAGCTCAAACAGGTGTTTGATCGATTCACCAAATCTAAGAGCTACTCCTCCTACCGATTGCTACTCCTAGATGGCCATGGATCTCATGTAACTTAGGAGTTTCTTGAATTCTGCGATCAAAACAAGATTCTTGTGGCTATCTTTCCCCCCCATTTAACCTATACCCTTCAGCCATTAGATGTTGTAATGTTCAAACCTCTCTCAACTGCGTACTCAAAGGAGCTATCTAACTACCTTCACAACAGCCAGGGGCTTCTATCAGTTAAGAAAGGAGACTTCTTCCCCCTTTTCTGGAGAGCCTGGGTGTCCTCCTTTAAGAAAAACACTATCCAAAAGTCCTTCATGGCCACAGGGATCTGGCCGCCCGATCTAACCTCTATACTTAAAAGATTCAACCGCAACACCCCTGAGGTATTAAGCTTAGATAAGAGCTCAGCTTCTGTACTCAGTGGATCAGACTAGCGTAAAATTAAGGCTCTAGTTAATCAAACAGCAGCTGATAAAACAAGTAAGGAGGTGAAGAAACTACACAGATTACTCCATCACATCTCAACCCAAAACGAGCTACTCCGCCATGAGATAAAGGGACTAAAGGAGGCCCTGAGTACCAAGAAGAAGCAGAAAAAGAAGAGCTACCCTTTAGATCTTCAAACTAATCAGGATGGGTATCATAGAGGAGCTGTTTTCTGGTCGCCAAGGAAACTTCGCCAAGCCTAGGAACGTAGGGTAGTAGAAGAACGTGAGAAAGACGAGTTACAACTCCAAAAAGCTCGTAGATTAGAATTGAAAGAGCAGGCTAGGTTATACAAACTTCAAGTAGCTCAGGAGAAGCGTGTGGAGCGGGAGAGACTCAAGGAGGTGCGCGAGAAGGAGAAGGCTGAAAAGATGGCTGAACGGGCACGTGAAAAAGCAGCTCGCGACTCACAAAAGGCTATTCAACAAGCCCAAAAGAGTAAGCGCAAGGCCTCATAAAGCTCTACTCAAAAGCAGAAGCGTTAGAAACGCGTTGTTGCTGCTACAGGTGCTAAGGAGTCCTCAGGGGCTGCACCAGCTGCCCCACACCGAACACCAACTTTTAAGGAATTTGGGACCCTTATAAAATTATACGATTTTTACATCATTTTAACGGCACGGCGGCCTGTAACTACCTCAGCTAAATAACCGCTTTCTGCTCTCGCGGAGGTGGTTAGAATGGCTAATGTAGAAACTCCAGAGAGGGCGCCACGGAGTGCCCAACCCCCCCATACACGATCAGAGGAGCCTGAGAGCCCTATTAATACTGACCTGCGCGGCAACAAGAGGAGGCAGCGAGCACATACTCGTGCTGAACCTTCTATCGGTAGCACTGCGCCCACCTCCTACAATCAAGCTGTCTCTGAAGCGGTCCGCCAGCGGATTCAGGCAGCCCAAAAAGCTACAAACCTCCACCACTCCATCATAACGGATCTAGCGACAGCTGTCGACAGATGCCTTGGGAAGTACACCGACCCAGACGGAGCCCGTGTGGCTAAGGACCTTCAACAGAAGGTGCTAAGGGCTATTAACACCTCCCTAATCACGCCCCTAATCACGCCCCCAAACTCAGGGAGCGACTCTGACACTACGCACCGCTCCTGGGCGGACGTAGCTAGGACCCTGAAAAATCCAACCCCCCCAGCAAGGGGGGCCGCTACGACGAAAGCGGCCACGGCTGCCCCAAAGCAGCTAGCTCAAACTCCTAGGCGACCTCTAAACACTGACAACCGTATCCTTATAGCGGTTGGAGCGGAGGCTCGGCTCCAACGGGCATCACCATTTGCGGCCCGCATGGCTATTGTAAAGGCGATTAAGGAAATTACCCCCTCCGACATACCTACGGCAAAACATATCAAGACTGGCTGGGCGATTACGCCCCGCAACGACAAAATCAAGGCCCTGCTTATGGGGCAGGAGAATCGCGAACTCATGATCCGAGCGGTAGAGGGCGAGAGCGCAAGACTACCTGAACGATGGGTGAACTATGCAGTCCAGGGCGTAGAAAGCTCATACCGCACTATCACAGGGGAAAGTATACCCACCACAATAGACGATATAGTCAGCGAAGCTCTGTCCCAGACAGGGATCGAACCGGCGAGCTGCCGGCCCTCCAGACATGGACCCACGGAGGGAAGGACAACCTGGATTATATCTTTCACCAGACCCGTACGATCGTTTCGCCTATTTGGGACGGGCGACTACGCGCACGAGATAAAGAAGAACTCACCTGCAATGCTGCACGACCCAGGCTGCCTAGGGTACTGCAAAACCAGCCGCTGCACAAGGCCAGCCCGCTGCACGACATGCAGCAAAACAACGGCAACTCACCAGGGACCACACGGAGAACAATGCAAAGACACACCAAAGTGCGCCAACTGCCACGGCCCATTTCCAGCAACCCACGACAAGTGCCCAGCAGCCCCAACGAGGGCGAACGGCCGACTCATCCAACCCACAAAGGGGGAACTAAAAGTCATTAGGGAGGCGGGTGACCGTGCTTCTGAGGCAATGCAGCCAGCTAGAGGAAGACAGACAGGCAGCACGGTCGAAACCTCCATTGAAATCACGGACGGCGACATAGCTAATACTACTGAGCCTGTGGGAACACCTACGGACGCAAGTAAAAGAAGCCGACAAGACGTAAACAACCTAAACACAGCCACTGTTAGAGAGCCCGCAACCACCCTAGGGACTAGGAGGTCTAAGAGAACAGCTGCAACTACGCAAGACCTCAACCTAGCGCGAATGTCTGCTAGAAGCGTGCAGCCTAGCACCGCTGACCAAGACCCTAATACGTCATCGTCTGAGCACGCTGACACTGAAATGAGCCTCGGATCTAGTGCGTAATGAGGGCACAACCCGCAAATTCACCCGGCGAAACCACGCCACACCGACACAGACAAATGCAGGTATGCTGGGTGAATGTGGCCAGAAGCTCGCCTTGCCACATTACAGCCTTAGAACGTGCATGGGAAGCAGACATAGACATAGTATGCATCCAAGAACCCTTTACTCTCACTGGAACCCGGACCTCTACACACCCAGGATTCCATATGATATCGCCAGTGATAAGCTGGAACAACCCCACAACGTGGGGAACTGACCGACCACGGGTGCTCACCTATACCCGTAAGAGCCCAAATATAAGGGCTACTCTTATACACCCACGCATCAGCCGGGATGTGCTATGGATCGAGGCCAACGGCTACCGCATATTGAATGTTTATAGGCAGCCACAGAATGACTCGACATTTCAATACCTCACAGCTTTAACGCCACCCCGTAACTGCCTTATAGGGGGTGACTTAAACGCCCGCCATGAACTTTTTGAGCCCGGCTCCACGTCGGCCAATAGGGGGGCAGAGATCGCCCGCTGGGCCACTCAGAACGACATACCCTACATCGGCGAGGCAGGTAACCCAACACATCGGGCGGGACACGTGCTAGACGTATCCTTCTCAAATATACCCTTCGCTAGAACGACAGTCCGCGAAGATATGTATACAGGGTCAGACCATTTCACCCTAGTGACTGTCCTTCCAAGCCGAGGGAGAGCGGTGCTAGAACAGCATCACTACCGGGTCCACGAGAGAAACATAGATAGGTTTGCCGGGCTAGTTCAACTCTACACAGTAGGCGTACAGCCAATCAGCAATAGCGCCCCAGCGGACGTAATCGACGCAAGCATAGCTAGAATCACCCAAGCTATAGGAGATGCAATGCACGCGGCGGGAACACCAAATAGAGAAAAAGGCCACTCCGCCCCATGGTGGACAGAGGACTGTAGAGTGGCGTATAAGCGGCATATCCAGGAAAAGTCGGACTATGGCCAATCCCCCTCAGAAGCCACCCGTGCGTTCCTAGCTACGGTACGAAAAGCCAAGAGAACGTACTGGCAGCAGCGCATAGACGGCTGTAATAACGACAAAGATCTATACAAGCTAGTAGGCTGGCATAAACTATCATTCGACCAACGGGACACCCCACTTGTAATCGAAGGTAGGACAATCACAGCACCACTCGAGAAAGCTGAGGCACTTAGAGAGGCAATCCTCG